ATGCTGTTGAATTTTAATATGCATTTTCCTGGTATTTGCATATAAGCCTTTTACGACTTTCTCTCTCTGCCTCCATCGCTTAAAATTTTCTTGATATTTAAATTTAGGAATTTTGGGTGGCCTTATATATTCTTGCTAAACATGTAGGAAATTTAATTTTATTTGATATTTGTTTCTATTAAAAAAAATACCACCACATTCAGAATTTAGTCATGACGTCCCATATGAGGTCATGTTAGCTCTAAGGCAAAAATACAATAACAATTCGTTATAGTCTTGTTACCAATTGTGTCTTTTATTGTCATCTATATACAGTTTTTTTTTTAATTGCCACAAATAACAACAACACATTGTTTTTATAGTCCACTTTTAACAACCTTCAATTATTCTGCTTTTTTTTTTGTTTTCTATGACTCCATTCTTTGTTCCTGCCACAGCTGAATGTGCAACGCTTCGTGGTATCCTTAATGGATTCTGTTCGCAACATTAGCTTTGGCCCCTAGTGTGAATTTGAAATAATTGGATGACAGTGGGAATAGAGGACGGGGATTACATTTTTTTCCACAGATTTTAAAAGAAATCAAGGAGGCACACAGGGTGCGGTTTTGTAAAAATATTTTTTAAGGATTCATTCAATGCGTGTGTTTCTAAATTTTTTTTTTGGATTTTTGAAATATTTTTTTTAATTTTTACAGAAGTCGTGGATTTCTTAAATATTTTTCCAAGTCTTACAGAAGGTGTAGATTTTTAAAGACGTGGATTTCTTAAATCTTTTTTTCCAAGTCTTATAGAAGGCGTGGATTTTTAAAGGGGTGGACTTTTTAAATATTTTTTCCCAAATCTTGCAGAAGACGTGGACTTTTTAAATCTTTTTTTCCAAGTCTTACAGAAGGCGTGGATTTTTTAAATATTTTTTCCAAGTTTTTAAATATTTTTTCCAAGTCTTACAAAAGGCGTGGTTTTTTTTATATATATATTTTTTAATATTTTTTCCAAGTCTTACAGAAGGCGTGGATTTTTAAAGGCATGGAATTTTTAAATATTTTTTTACAAGTCTTACAGAAGGCGTGGAATTTTTAAATAATTTTTTTATACCCTGCACATCTATGTTGTCAGGGCATTATTGCTTTGTGCAGCCCCAGGAGTTTGTAACGCCGCGAAATATTGGTCCTGGACCCACCTTTAAGTATACCGATCGTCATATCTCGACTAGCTGAGTCGATCTAGACATGTGTGTCCGTCAGTCCGTTTGTCCATTATAATTTGTAAACACGATACAGGCCACATTTATGGACCAATCTTCATTTATGGACCAATTTTGCATGTAGAATGAGTTCTGACCAATAAACAACCCTATTGTTTTTGGTAAAGATCCGTTAATATTAAGGAGATGAAATGGACAAAAAAGCTTTATTTTTGTCTGATTTTCTTATCGCTCCAGAGGCTGCAATTATGGCCCGAACATGGCGAATTTTCACATGAAGAAGTGGGTCGGGCCAAGGAATAAGCATGCCTGTTTTGATACAGATCGGTCAATATTTAGCGGGTCAAATGGACCTGACTTTTTTATGAAAAATCGCAAAATTTATCTTCTATGGCGTACATATTTACTCTTGAAGGACATAGACCCTAGAAGCCGAAGCCGATATCCAAGAGGAGTGGTTGATCTTTAAATTGATACCAATTATATTGCCGTATGTACTCGGATGTGGGAATTACACTTAAATATTTACAGGTGCTTACGTTTTCAGATATTATTCAGACACCCATTACCACACTAGATGGCGGAAGTATAGTGCTGATCGCTTTGACATTTTCCATTAGGATCCATTTATGGTCAAGGACAACGCCTATAATTTTCGGTGATGATCAGATAACAATTTTGGGATGAAATGGACCGAAAATTTTATTTTTTTGTTAATTTTTTTCGAGTCGATCTATAAGCCACAATTGAAAGCCTAACATCACAGCACAAACCACGGTTAAAGGAAACTGGACAAGTAATTAAAAGGGCTGTACTCAATATTAGTAATATTCGGAAAATATGTCAGTGTAAGGTAGAGGTGGTGTTGACCTCTTATCGGACAAGAAGATGCAACTATCACGACATATTGCCCAGTCTCGGAATACAAATCCGCACAAAGTTAGAGTTCCATGGTAGTTGTGTAGAGTATCGTATGGTCGGCCCCGTCCGTCTATACTGCTCCGCTCACTGGTTTTTACATAATTTTGACTTAACTCTAGTTTAGTAAAAACGATCAGATTTTTCTGAAAAAATTTCCAGAGGTAGGTATTTCTACCCTAATTATGGGGATATTTTTTTCTTTGGGAAGTACCCGGTTACACGGTTATTTGACCCGGAAGTACGGGTACCCGGTTATATCCGGTTCTACGGATCCGGTTAATATAAAATGTTTTCCATTGAGTGATAATATGATGGGGTTGCAGTCAAAATACAGTCAACCAATAGGGTATCGTATGGTCGGCCCCGTTCACTGGCTTTTAAATAATTTTGGCTTAACTCTAGTTTAGTAAAAACGATCAGATTTTTCCGAAAAATTTTTCCAGAGGTAGGTATTTCTATCCTAAATATGGGGATATCTTTTTTTTCTTGGGGGACGTACCGGGTTATTTGACCCGGAAGTTCGGGTACGGGTACCCGGTTATATCCGGTTCTACGGATCCGGTTAATATAAAATGAGTATCATATTAAAGCTTTCCATTGAGTGGTAATATGATGGGGTTTACCATCAAAATTCAGTCAACACAATTGGGTTTTGGTCTCCGATTTTTGTTTTTTTTTTTTTTTTGAAAAACTCTCTCGGGTCCATTATAGTCCCTCTGCAATCAAAATACCCCAGCACCAATAAGAGATGATGGTATAGAGTGTGTACCACCTAGCCAAGATGAGGTCATAAAATCAATTAATCGGCTCAAGAACAAAAAAGCAGCAGGAGCCGACGGCTTACCAGCCTATCTATTCAAGCCTGGTGGTTAGATATTGGTCAGGAACAGCTGATTAGTTCAATTTGGCTAGAGGAATGTATGCCCAATGATTGGAACCTCAGCATCCTTGGGTCCATTATAGCCCCTCTGCAATGAAATGATAAACCACAATTTGCCCTTTCCAAAATGGTGCGATAAAACAAGGAAATCGGTGTTGATATCTGTCCATAGCAGAAAGTCCTAAATCCCCACCCGAAGGCCGGTCACCCAAAAAACTATTATATTTAACAAGAGATTCTGTCGAGTAGCCAATGTTGTTATCGGTCCATAGAAGAAAGTGTTAAATACCCGGACGAAGGCCCGCTACACCAAAAACCTATTCTATTTAACAAGAGATTCTGTAGCGTAGCCGTATTGGTATTGGGCGGCAACAAAGATGACGAAGATGATTTCGGAGAAATTGATGTGGATGCTGGACGAACTATTGAACATGGCTGTAGCAACAACAACAAAAACGATGATGATGACGATCTCGATGAAGATAACGAGGACGACAAGACGGAGAATGATTATGATGATGCCATCAACACCAAAGAGGATGAGGATGACAATAGCCCCATTTACACTGATATTACCAATCCCACCGCCGATACCGATTCATCATCTTCATCAGCCACCTCCACCTCAACCTCGACCACCACCGGTAAACGACATCAGTGTGTTTCCTTTCTTTTTTTTATTTTTACTTTAGCCGAAGTTGGTATCTCTCCATTGAAGAAAGTGTTAAATCCCCGGCCGAAGGTCGGCTACACAAAAAATATTCTCTTTAAAAGTAGTTTCTGTCGCGTAAACGGTGTTGGTGTCTGTCCATAGTAGAAAGTCCGAAATCTCCGCCCGAAGGCCAGTCACCCAAAAAACTATTCTATTTAACAAGAGATTCTGTCGCGTAGCCGGTGTTGGTATCTGCCCATAAGAGAAAGTCTTAAATCCCCGGAAGAAGGCAGGCTACACAAAAAAATATTCTCTTTAAAAGGAGTTTCTGTCGCGTAGCCCGTGTATGTATCTGTCCATAGGTAAAAGTTTTAAAATCTCGACCGAAGGCCGGCCAGCAAACAAAAACCATGCTATGGAGATTCTGACCATAAAAGGAGATTCTGTCATTTAGAAAGATTTTCCTTGAGATAACCCCATCGCTATTTTTATAACATTTAAAATGATACGGATTTTATATTAAGAGGATCTTTAGAATCGGATATAACCGGGTATTTTTAAAAATAATTTTTTCCAGGATTTCTACTAGGCGTGGATTTTTCAAATAATTTTTTCCAAAGGCGAGGATTTTCCGAATCTTACAGATGTATTAACTGAAGTTGTAAATTAAAAAAAAATATTTTTTTCAAGAATTAATTAAAGTTGGAATTCAAAAAAAAAATATTTTTTCAAGTAATAATTGAAGTTTGAAATAAAAAAAATATTTTTTCAAGTATTAATTTAAGTTGGAAATTTAAAAAAAAAATATTTTTTCCAATGGATTGTATTAAAAAATATATTTTTTCATTTCATTTTTTCAAAGGATTGTATATTTAAAAAATATTTTTCAAGCATTTTCCAAATTGCGAGGATTTTTCAAATAATATTCCTTTAGGAATTTAGCAAAGGTTTCGATGTTTTAAAGAATATTCTTCTAAATAACCAGAAAACTCCACTGTATTGCCTGTGTAATTGTAACACACACACTCCTCTAATTGTTATCGGGCTATATGACCTCTGGTTGTTAGCTAGATTAAAATTGTATTACACACACACAATTGTGCATGTATGTGTATGTGTGTGAATGTGTTTGTTCTAACCATACTCTAGCCTTAAGATTTACGAGGTAATTAACACCATATTCCGGCACTTCCGACCATGTTATGTTAACATTTGCCGGATATGACTGTAATAACCTCCATATGGAATACTCGGTTACAACTTAATTTGAGTAGAAATAAGAGCATTTTTTTTTTTTTTGAAATTAAATTTTTAATTGTCTATTCTCTTTTTTGTTGTTACAGCCACACGATGATTTAGAGAAAGATCACGATTTCTCTGGTTCTGGCTTTGGTCCCGATGACGAGGATTCCGACAGCGATTATCATCATCATTCGCATACGCACAACACACAAACGGGTAAATCAAATATAAATAAGCAAATCGATGACAACGATTTCATAACCACAAGTAGAAATAACCAAAATCAGAATAGTCATCATCAAACATCCAGTGGCACGAACATTGGTAGCGGCATTACAAATACAGGCATCATTGGTAGCTCAGCCGGTGGTAGCTCAGGTGGTTCTTCATCGACCGGGCTCAATACGATTGGTAATAAAAACTTTGTCGCTCATTTGTGTAACTTTTTTTTTTTTTTTTGGTTTTCCTTTGCAAGCGGCAATTTTTTCTTCCACTATTTTTCCTTTTTTTGTATTATATAATACATATATATAAAATTTTCTACTACTTCTTCACACTACTACTACTACTATTTTTTCTATGTTAAATTTTGGTACTACTCTAAAAAAATTATTATATTTTGGCCTAAATGTGTTTTAGCCCTGATTATTTTATTGCAATATTTTTTTTCATTTATTTTTGTTTTAAAATTTTATTTTTATTTTATTTTTTCATTTTCTCATCTCTTTTTTTTTCTCATCTGTATAAACAATAATACTCTCTCATATCATGAAATTTATTATTTTTAAATTATTTACTCATCAAATCGAATCAATCATTCATTAGAAACAAATAATCATAATAAACAATTTAATTCCTCTATTTCATTGTTTAATCCCATTATGACCAACACCACCACCACCACCATCACTACCATCATTGCCACCCCTGCCACCATCATTCCCATTACCACACAAAAATCAAATATACTAACCACAATTCCAATAACAACAACAACAATCGCAACTATTGATAACATAACCACACCCTCCTCGGTGACCTCAATGACACAAAACAACAACACTGCCACTACCACCACCCCCACTAACACCCACAATCTATCACACAACAATACAACAAACCAAAACAACAACAACAACACTACCCATATTATTCCCTTTTCCTTACCAGCCACCACCTCAACGACAACCACCAGCACCTCCTCCGCAACAATTGGCAAAGTTAATCCACCATCGACGACAACAACAATCCATCATCACAGCGATGGCGACGACTTCGATCTCGATGAAGACGACGAAGATGAGGAAGGTCCTCTGCTACATCACAGCGGTGATGGCGGTCTCATTGACAGCAATGTCGATGATGACGATGATCATACCGGTGACGATGATGATGATGGCGATGTTATCCATCGTCATGACCTCTATCCCAGCCACCACGACCATTTGGATAAGGTATCGAAACCCGTGGATGAACGTAAACCAGTATTGGGCGGCAACAAAGATGACGAAGATGATTTCGGAGAAATTGATGTGGATGCTGGACAAACTATTGAACATGGCCGTAGCAACAACAACAACGATGATGATGACGATCTCGACGAAGATAACGAGGACGACAAGACGGAGGATGATTATGATGATGCCATCAACACCAAGGAGGATGAGGATGACAATAGCCCCATTTACACTGATATTACCGATCCCACCGCCGATACCGATTCATCATCTTCATCAGCCACCTCCACCTCAACCTCGACCACCACCGATAAACGACGTCAGTGTATTTCCTTTCTTTTTTTATTATTACTTTATTACAACTATTATTATCCATATATGGTTTGCTTTTGTTATTGTCCTTTTCTTGTTTTGTTTGTTGTCTATTTTTCTTTGGTTTTATGTTCTGTTATGTCGTTTTTCTTTGTAGTCCTAGCTTTGTTGCTTTCCTTTTGCATTTTTTTGTTATCCTTTTTATATTGGCTTTGTATATTTGCAACCATTATTTTTTTGTATTTTTTTATTTTGGATCAAAAATGGAATTCAAGGACCTAAATATCTTTCTAGGACCTATAGAAGACGTGAATTTGTTTAAGAATATTTTCAGGGACCTAAATATCTTTCTAAGAACTATAGAAGGCGTGAATTGTTTAAGAGTATTTTTAAGAACCTGTAGGAGGCGTGAATTTTTTAAAGAATATTTTCAAGGATCTATATATTTCAAGGACCTATAAAAGGCGTGGATTTGTTAAAGAATGTTTTTCAAGGACCTATAGAAGGCGTGGATTTGTTAAAGAATAGTTTTTAAGAACCTATAGAAGGCGTGGCAGAATAGTTTTCAAGGACCTATAGAAGGCGTGGGAGTATAGTTTTTAAGGACCTATATTTTTCAAGGACCTATAGAAGGCTTGGAAGAATGGTTTTCAAGCACCTATAGAAGGCATGGAAGAATAGTTTTCAGGGACCTAAAGAAGGCGTGGATTTCTTAAAGAATATTTTTTTAGGTCTATACAAGGCGTGGATTTTTCAAAGAATATTTTTTTAGGTCTATACAAGGCATGGGATTTTTTAAAGAATATTTTCAAGGACCTATAAAAGGCGTGGATTTTTTAAAGAATATTTTCAAGTGCCTATAAAAGGCGTGGATTTTTTAAAGAATATTTTCAAGGACCTATAAAAGGCGTGGATTTTTTAAAGAATATCTTTCAAGAACCTTTACAAGGCGTAGATTGTTTAAAGAATATTTTTAAGCACCCAGACAAGGCGTAGATTTTTTAAAGAATATTTTCAAGGGCCCAGACAAGGCGTAGATTTTTTAAAGAATATTTTTAAAGCACCCAGACAAGGCGTAGATTTTTTAAAGAATATTTTTAAAGCACCCAGACAAGGCGTAGATTTTTTAAAGAATATTTTCAGGGGCCCAGACGAGGCGTAGATTTTTTAAAGAATATTTTTAAAGCACCCAGACAAGGCGTAGATTTTTTAAAGAATATTTTTAAAGGTCCCAGACACAGGCGTGGATTTTTTAAAGAATATCTTTGAAGGACCTATAAAAGGCGTGGATTATTTAAAGAATATCTTTCAAGGACCTATAAAAGGCGTAGATTTTTAAAGAATATCTTTCAAGGACCTATAAAAGGCGTAGATTTTTTAAAGAATATTTTCAAGGGCCCAGACAAGGCGTAGATTTTTTAAAGAATATTTTCAAGGGCCCAGACAAGGCGTAGATTTTTAAAATATTTTTTTTCAGTGGCCCAGACAAGGCGTAGATTTTTTAAAGAATATTTTTAAGCACCCAGACAAGGCGTAGATTTTTTAAAGAATATTTTCAAGGGCCCAGACAAGGCGTAGATTTTTTAAAGAATATTTTCAAGGGCCCAGACAAGGCGTAGATTTTTTAAAGAATATTTTCAAGGGCCCAGACAAGGCGTAGCTTTTTTAAAGAATATTATCAAGGGCCCAGACAAGGCGTAGATTTTTTAAAGAATATATTTCAAGGACCTATAAAAGGCGTGGATTTTTTTAAAGAATATCTTTCAAGGACCTATAAAAGGCGTGGATTTTTTTAAAGAATATCTTTCAAGGACCTACAAAAGGCGTGGATTTTTAAAAAAAAATGTTTTTAAGCTCCCAGACAAGGCATAGATTTAAAAAAAATGTTTTTAAGCTCCCAGACAAGGCATAGATTTAAAAAAAATGTTTTTAAGCTCCCAGACAAGGCATAGATTTAAAAAAAATGTTTTTAAGCTCCCAGACAAGGCGTAGATTTTTAAAAGAATTTTTTCAAGCACCCATACAAAGCATAGGTTTTGAAAATAATTTTTTAAGCACCCAGACAAGCCGTAGATTTTTTAAAGAAATTTTTCAAGCACCCAGACAAGGCGTAAATTTTTTAAGGAATATTTTTAAGCACCCAGATAAGGCGTAGATTTTTAAAAGAATTTTTTTAAGCACCCAGACAAGGCATAGATTTTTAAAATAATTTTTTTAAGCACCCAGACCGAGACTTTTTGAAAATCCATTTTTTACTCCTTTACCAGAAGCAATAATTTTTTAAAAATGCAATCTAAAATCCTATCCTCATGTTTTACAAAATATGTTTCCAAATACAGAAATATGTGCCAAATGATGTATACATATTTTTTTCATGGCTTTTCTTCAACTATTAAAAATTGCTATCCTTCGAATTCCATTTTTATCCGAAATATTTATTTATTTTATATATATTATTGTTTCCTAGTTCTGTTTGTTTTGTTATGTTTTTGTATTTGTTTTTTTTTCCTTAGCATCTTTCATTGGCATGTTACACTTTATTATTAGATTATTTTTTTGTAGAAAAAATATTTTTTATTTATTTTCTTGTATTCCCCACAAATTTTATTTCCTTCTTTATTTATTAAAAAAAAGATACCTTAATTGTCATTTCTAAGTTTTAAATTTCATAAACCCTTTCTAGTGAGAAGGAGACACTGAAAAAAAAAAACGAAAAGCACCCACTGTTTTTCCAACAACGAAGAAAAACTATTTCTCCTTTTTATAATTAACATTTTACTTATTATTTATCTAATTAACCCAGAAAAGAAAATACTAGGCAAAAAACCCCCACTCTAAATTATATTCTGTTTTTTTCCAAGGCCCCAAACACACTGCCTTAATGTATACTCTGAAGAAAGAAATAAACGAAGAAAACACTTTAAACATGACCCTTAAAAAAATTGCACACATACATTTACACTCTCAACACACAATTATTTTTTTTTTGACATACTCTTGTATATACTCTTGATTATCATACTCTCTAGTGTCTCATACCCTCTCGTACTTGTTCATTTTCATTATTTTCTTCTGTTCGACATAATTCACTTGTCTAGTGAATTCATTATAACCACAACAACCAGTCACCCACCACCCAACCAGTCACCCATCTTCATATCTACATATACACACGTATATGTATATATCATATATATAATTGTATGTAATTGTGTATATACATGCATTTCATGTTCATGTTCATTACCACCAAAAAGATAATTCATTCATTCGTCCATTGAAAACTAGTCAGTCGGTTGGTCTGTCTGCCAACCAGTCATTCATTCATTCATCCATCTATTCAACCATCCGTTTTCTTTGTGTTCTGTGTGTTTTTTGTATCTTCCTTCTTTCATTCATTTATGCCAAGAAACAACGACAATTCATTTCATCATTGTTTTATTCGAAAAAAAATAAAACAAAAACAATAAGAAGAGAATTTTTCATGTTCATTACATTTTGTCGATTGTTTTATTATTATTATATCAGTGTTCGTTCATCTATATATCGCTACAGTGGAACATGGTTATAAGGACCTTGGTGAAAGTCTCAATTTTAGGGCGGATTTTTTTCCTCCCTTCTGTGAGAAATTATAGCATTTTAACGGCAAATAAAAATTACATTTTTCAAATTTATCCTTATAGCCATGTTCCACTGTATGTCCTTTTAGTGTTTCACATCCTTTTACCGCATTTACATTAATTGTTACTCTCCTTTATTATTAATAATATTGTTATTTTGCTTGTGGTCGGTTTATTCTGATAACGTCCATTTTGCTAATTAATATTTAACCAATATTTGTTGTAGAACTAATTTTATGTGTGTGTGTATGTATTAGTAAATTTGTTGTTATGAATGTTTATAAACTTATATTGACAATTTAATATTATTAATTAAGGAAATAGTTTTTAAATTTCGGAAATTTTGTATGACAAAATTTTATTTTCAGCAAACACTTGTATTCTATGCAAAGAATTCCCTGTAGAGGACCCATATAGGCTCCTCTATGTAAGGCCATATAAAGATTTTTTAAGAATATTTTACAGGACCCACACAAGGTGGAGATATTTTAAAGATTTTTTAAGGCCCCACACAAGGCGTAGATTTTTTAAAGAATATTTTTTCAAGGACCCACACAAGGCGTAGATTTTTTAAAGAATATTTTTTCAAGGACTCACACAAGGCGTAGATTTTTTAAAGAATATTTTTTCAAGGACTCACACAAGGCGTAGATTTTTTAAAGAATATTTTTTCAAGGGCAAGGCGTAGATTTTTTAAAGAATATTTTTTCAAGGGCAAGGCGTAGATTTTTTAAAGAATATTTTTTGAAGGGCAAGGCGTAGATTTTTTAAAGAATATTTTTTCAAGGGCAAGGCGTAGATTTTTTAAAGAATATTTTTCAAGGACAAGGCGTAGATTTTTTAAAAGAATATTTTTCAAGGACAAGGCGTAGATTTTTTAAAAGAATATTTTTCAAGGACAAGGCGTAGATTTTTTAAAAGAATATTTTTTCAACGACTCACACAAGGCGTAGATTTTTTAAAGAGTATTTTTTCAAGGACTCACACAAGGCGTAGATTTTTTAAAGAGTATTTTTTCAAGGACTCACACAAGGCGTAGATTTTTTAAAGAATATTTTTTCAAGGACTCACACAAGGCGTAGATTTTTTAAAAGAATATTTTTTCAAGGATTCACACAAGGCGTAGATTTTTTAAAGAATATTTTTTCAAGGACTCACACAAGGCGTAGATTTTTTAAAAGAATATTTTTTCAAGGATTCACACAAGGCGTAGATTTTTAAAAAAAATATTTTTTCAAGGACTCACACAAGGCGTAGATTTTTTAAAGAATATTTAAAGATTATTTTTTCAAGGACCCACACAAGGCGAAGATTTTTTAAAGAATATTTTTTCAAGGACTCACACAAGGCGTAGATTTTTTTAAAGAATATTTTTTCAAGGATCCAC